TATATATATATTCATGTGAATAGGTTTCCTAACAGTGAAGCCAAAATTAGACTCATCCTCCCAGTCATGGCAGCATTGGACAGGGACTGTCTTGCCCAAGAGGAGCAAAGATAACTACATGTACCAAATAGGCAGCTTACTCCTAAAAGGGGAGAGAGGAGGGAGCAGGGCCAGACATGCCTGATCTCATCTCCTAAACTTACCAATCAAATAAATCATGGCTCTTCCCATGGATGAGAGTGACTGACTAGGTGAAGAGATGCTTGGAGTATTATACTTCTATCTATCCCTCCATGTAGAAGGTTATCACTGAGACTGGGAAAGAATTGTTCTCTCTAACACGTGCCAGACTCTGTTAGGCATGAACAAGACCAGTTTTTGCCCTGGGAGAAACACAGATTTGTAAGTAGCTCAGGTATCCAGCCAACATTTGCTGAACAACTGCTGTGTCCTGTGCTTGGCACCAGGGGTACAGATGAGTAGAGGATTTGAGGGGTTGTGTGCAAGGCAGTGTCCTGAGGAGTACACAGATGGTTCCAGTGGAGTTAGTAAATGGAGTCAGAACTGCAAACTCTCTGGTTCAGCTATACTGATCAGATTAGCATCCTGCAGGGGCCACGAATGATGGCATATGCCTGAAATCCCAGCACTTGGTGGTGGTTGTCAGGGGCAGAGGGGCTCAGAGGCAGGAGGATCATGAGTTCAAGGCCAGCCTGAACTACACAGTGAGATCCTGTCTCAAAAAAAAAAAAATTATAGAATCCTGTGAGGCTAGAGAAGATTGTTAGGGAGGGAGAATATTCTTGAATTATTCTTTGTTTCTCAGGAAATGAGTCTCAATGGGTAACAACAAAGCCAAAGAACAGAGATGACATCTTAAGCACGGTGAGGGCTTGCTCCTAAGAGGGTCTGGAAAAGAAAGGGTGACAACCAAACTAGTTAGTTGTTCCCATTTCTTCCCACCCCATTGGCTCAGAAAATACTCATAAGGTCATTGAGGTTCAGCCATTTCCTGTGATTGAAGACCCTGGCTCCTTGGATGTCTCTGTGGGTCCCTCTTCCTTTGCTTACTCTCCTGGACCTACTCGTGCCGCCATAGTACCATCACTGACCATCCCTTTATACAGGATCTAGGCCTGGTCAACGCATCTTTGCTGCTTCCATTTGAATGCATTCAACATGGAGGCCAACCTCGTGGCCCTGGCTGTCACACAGTCCCAGACATTGCTTTATTCTCCCTTCTCCTCTTCCTTACCTCCTTTCTCTTTGCTACGGCCTTCAAGCATATAAAGACAAGTCGCTTCTTTCCCTCTGTGGTAAGTGTCACTTTTCTTTTTGTGGGAGGGGCCTATTCTTGGTCTTGAGCTCAATGTGCAAATGGGAAAGAGTATGGAAGAAAGTGGTTGGCAGGCCCAAACCTGATTGTGTGTCTGCTATGTGGCCAGGTACGCAAGGTGCTCAGTGACTTCTCCTCAGTCCTGGCTATTCTGCTGGGCTGCGGCCTTGATGCATTCCTGGGCCTAGCCACACCGAAGCTCATGATGCCTACGGAGTTCAAGGTGAGAGCTGGTGGGACGGGGAGGGCAAGGCCAACCAACTCTGGTTGAGGAAGATGCATAAATCCTACACCTTTCTTCCTCCTTTGAGCTTCTTTCCTCACTCTTAAAATGGCAATAGTGGTAATAATGGCCTCACAGAATTGTCCAGAGGATTACATGAGGTACTGCAGCAGAGACATATGAAGATGAGACCAAAATATCTGGTGAACATTTAAATTTTTAAAAATTTATTACGGTAAAAAGCATATTGTGATCCATCTCCCTCAAAATACTCCCCCTTACCTGAACAAACTTACCCCATCCTTCTTGCCACTTTCGGAAACAGTTGTGGAAGTCCTCTTTCCTAAGTGTTTTTATGAGGCATGATCTAAAATATGACAAATTCTGCTGCCAAGTGCCATCCAGTAGAAAGGCAGTCTCACAAAAACATTACAATGTATTCTTATATGTCTTATTCAATGTGCAACTTCTGGCTCTTCCCCAAACTCAAAGTGTTTGAAAATTTTGAACCGAATGAGGACATCAAGGTGGCAATTATGACAGTGCAATTATGTAAAGACCCTCATGAAAGAGGACCTTCTAAAACTGCCTCAGAAAGTGGGAAGAACAACTGGGCTGGTGTGGCAGTGCAGGCCTGTAATCCCTGCACTCTGGGAGGCTGAGGGAGAAGAACTGCAAGTTCAACCCAGCCCGAGCAATTTAGCAATTTAGCGAGACCCTGTCTTAAAATTGGAAAAGGTGTGTGGTGCTGGGGATGTAGCTCAGTGCAGTGCAAAGAACTTGGATTCAATCCCCGGTACCAGGGGAAAGAAAAAGGAAAGAAAGAATGATGGGATGAGTTTTTGATGCAAGGGGAAGTATTCTGGGTGAGATTAATGGCAACATGTCTTTTACTATAATCAATTCTAAACAACTGTTTAAACATTCACTGCATTTTTCAATCACACATTTTCCGATAAGTGCAAGAATATAATATGCAGTAGCTGTTATTAGAGGGTAGGAGTGAGGAGGATGGGTTCTGGTCAGCCAGCCTTGGGCTTACATTCCAGTTCTACCACTTCCTAGCTGTGTATTAGGCAAGTTACTGCACATTTCTGAGCCTCGATTTCTTATTCTATAAAATGGAAATAATAAATAACAACAGTTCCTACACTATAGTTTATTTTGAGGTTTACAGAAGATCGTAGTATAAAGCACTTATCATTGTGCCTGGCACATACCAGGTCCTCTGTAAATGTTAGTCATTGCTGTTATGGGCTGTCCCCACCCTTAGTATGACCCTGCCCACTCCACTGCTCCCCACTCTGTACTTTATACCCCTCACTGCCTGCTCTGATTTAGAAAGCTGGAGATCCCTCTCCAGAGTGTGACGGTGAGGAGGACAAGGCTTCATACCGATTTCTGGACTGCCTGCATAATTTGAAGAACTTGAGCTTCTCCCAAGGCAGGGGAGCATGGGAACTCCATCTGGGGCAGCCTCAGGAACCAGAACCCCAAACAGCAGCCTGGGTCCCCCTCCCACACAGGGACGCTTGTAATCACAGCAGACGCAGACACACCCAGCCCTGCCCCTCCCTTGCCCCAGATCAAGGCAGGTCTGAACCTGAGTTGCCCCACCCTGGGTGGGGGTGATGCCTAGGGGGGAAGGCTCTATGTACTGTACCAAGAAGTATGAGCAGACCTCACCTATCAATTCTTCCAGGGAGAGAGGGACTCTGGGATCCAAAGTCTTAGAGCCTTTGCATGGACTAGAGCCAGGATATTCCCCTTCCGTTTGCCCTTTTAAGGTGCTCGGATGCTCTGAACCAGCTGTGCACATGTGTATACACACACACACACACACACACACACACAGTTCCCACCTAGTATCTTAGCATCCCGTGTCTTGGGAGGGAGTCAGGTTGCGGCAGAATGCCAAGGCAGGGGTGTGCAGGTAAGATGCTCTTGGGAGACCCTCTCTAATCTGTCCACGGCATGACCTCCCCCAGCCCACACTCTCTGGGCGTGGCTGGCTGGTATCACCTTTTGGAGCCAACCCCTGGTGGTTGAGTGTGGCAGCCACCCTGCCTGCCCTGCTGCTGTCTATCCTCATCTTCATGGACCAGCAGATCACAGCAGTCATCCTCAACCGTGCAGGATATAAGCTGCAGGTAAGATCTTCTGGGTAAGGCCAGCCTAGACTAAGAGACAGAAGCTCCGGATCGTGTCCAGGCCTCCCTGCTCTCCCCCAGGAGGACAGAGAGCTGAGGGCTGGGCTAGCTTCATCCTTGTTCACTGCCCCCTTCCCTGTGCTCCTGTCCCTGTAGAAGGGAGCTGGCTTCCATTTGGACCTCTTCTGTGTGGCTGTGCTAATTCTGTTGACATCAATACTTGGGCTGCCCTGGTATGTCTCAGCCACTGTCATCTCCCTGGCCCACATGGACAGTCTTCGGAGAGAGAGCAGAGCCTGTGCTCCTGGGGAGCCCCCCAGATTCCTGGGAATCAGGTGAGAGCACATTCAGGAGGCTGGAGTGGGGGGTAGGCAACAAGGAGGAGTATGGGGCACATGGCAGGTTTACTTGAGCAGCTTAAATTCTAATTTGTGCCCCATAAGCACTACAGTGGGTTAAGTGGGTGGACCCTAGGCTCTGAGATAGGTGAGTTAGATCTCTCCTTTTTAAGAGAGATGGGAACTAGGAGGGGCCTCAAGAGAAGCATCATCTGTGCAGGGATGGAAGCAGCCAGGTGGAAGTGGAGGATGAGGTGCCAGCAATCCCCATTCAAAGTAGAAGCACATGGTTGATGTTACAAAGGAATCCAATTCTGGAACTGTTGGAAGACCATCTCACTGTCTAAAGCATATGAAATCAACTTTGTAGACTGTAAAATATAAATCTTTGTAATAGTATAAAGTTACAGGGCCAAGGATTTAGCTCAGTGGTGCTGCATCTGCCTCACAAGCACAAGGTCCTGAGTTCAATCCCTGATATGGCGGCAGGGGAGGTTATGAATTTTCAATCAAACAAAAACAGAGACTATGCAACTGAATTGATGGCAAGGCCTGGGACCCCTGTGTTGAAGTGCTCTGCCCTTTGCTGTCCACTAATTTTTTTAATAAAAAGCAAAGGCCTTCTTCTTACCAGGTAACCTACTGGGGATCCCTTTACTTTCTTCTGGCTGCCAAGGTCTACGCTGATGTCTGATCGGGAACTTCATCCTGAGTGCCCAGGGGCTCTCCCAGACTCCACCTCGTTCCTCCTTCTCCCCACAGGGAACAGAGGCTGACAGGCCTGGTGGTGTTTGTTCTTACAGGCATCTCCATCTTCCTGGCACCTGTACTCAAGGTACCTCTGTTAGACCAGGATCTGGGTCAGTACAGTAATAATAAGTATAGCAAGAGCAAGCACTGGTTGAACACTTACAGTGTGATAGGCACTGTATTTTCTCCTCTGTGTGGTGTCATTTAACCTTTACTTTATCCCCGAGAGGCATATTTTACCCACCGAGAAGCTGGGCATGGTGGTGTGCACCTGTAATCCTAGCACTCAAGAGGCTGAGGCAGGAGGATCACAGCAAGTTCAAGGCCAGGCTGGGCTTCGTGGTGAATTCAAGGCCAGACTGAACTGCATAGTGAGACCCTATATCAAAAAGTTAGAAGGAAAAAAGCTGGGCATGGTGGCATATGCCTATAATCCCAGCACTGAGGCAGGAGAATCCCTGTGAGTTCAAAGCCAACCTGGGCTACATATCAAGATCTTGTCTCAAAAAAAAAAAAAAAAGTGCACAAAGTGAGTCATTTTCTCAGATCTATATGAGAACCCAAGCTCTTATCCAGTAGGTTTCTGTTCAGTGAAGCAAGCCGTGAGCGTGCCACCGTCCCTAGGTTTCAAATGCTACCCATGCTGAGACTAAGTGTGATTATCATAGCCTAGAGAAGCTTTGAGGTAAAAATCCTTTCTTCTCTCTCACTTGAGGTTTATAGAAATCTCCTGTGTGCTGCATTCTGCTCACCTGGCAGAAGTGAATGCAGATGGTTTTGAAAAGCATTATGAAACCAATCCCTTACCAACAACACACACATGGGAACAAAAACTAAGTCACAAGGAATAGCAAAAAGATCCTACAGGCCAAGACAGCAAAGCAGTCAAGGAAGGTGTCGAGAATGTGAGACAAGAGTCACTGGTGGGGTGACAAGAGACGAGAGGTTAGAAGAGGGAAAGGTCATGCAGGCAGTGTAAGAGTGGTGCAGTAGAAAAAGCCAGATGGACCAGATCAGCCACTTACTAATTAGGTGACTCTCATAACCCTTATGCCAAGCACCATTCCAGGCACTGGGGATATAGTGATGATCAAAAGAGGACATATCTTCATCCTTGCAGTCTGGTGAGAGGAGAGATTTTAAAAAATTCAATAAGAAAACAGCATAACTGGGTAATGATAACATCTTTCAAAAATAAAAGAGGATAAGGTGACTGAGAGTGCCAGAGGCTACTTCAGACTGGTCGGTGAAGGCCTTTCTGGAGTGTCACGAGAAGAGGCACAGGTCTGGGGAAGAACATTTTGGAGGAAGGGACAGTTAAGTAAAAGTCTGCAAGGTGCTGGGCACAGTGGTGCATGCTTACAATCCTAGCACTGAGGGAGGTTGAGGCAGTAGGGTTATGAGTCACTTGCTAAGACAACTTAGCAAGACTTTGCCTCAAAAACAAAACAAAAAACAAAAGGCTGAGTGTAGTGGTGCACACCTGTAATCCCAGCACTCGGGGGTGGGGAGGCTGAGGCAGGAGGATCGCCATGAGTTCAAAGCCAGCCTGAGCTACACGGTGAGTTCAAGGGCAGCCTGAACTACATAGTGAGATCCTGTCTTAAAAAGAAAAAGAAAAAATAGAAAAATAAAACATACAAAGGAGTAAGAGATATAGTTCAATGGTAGCTCACCTTTGGATTGGATCCCCAGTACTGGAAAAAATTCCCATCTGATGAATGTGAAGATTCAGTGAGATCAGGCAAGCAAAATGTGAAAGGAAAAGTCTGGGCTGGTTTGGATGCTAGAGGCTGGGGCTGGAACCTGAGGTGGGGCATGTGGGTGGCTGGAGGAGGTAACCTCCTTTGCCAGCTCTCCACTTCCTTCTACCAGTTCATCCCAATGCCAGTGCTCTATGGCATCTTCCTGTACATGGGGGTTGCAGCGCTTAGCAGCATCCAGGTGAGCCCCTTGAAATCACTTAACAACCTCACTTCTCCTGCCTACCCTTGCCAATTCCCCTCCTATTGCATCTTCCTGTCTCTCCGGGGCACAGAGACTGCTGCCATGCTCTGGATGGGGAGAAGGCCAAGGGAAACCTCTGGCCCTTCTGCTCTGCTGGGCTGGGATAGCTAACAGTGACACCCCCAGGCTGAGTACCCTGGTTTCCTCTTCCTCTCATTATTCCAGTTCATGAAGAGAGTGCAGCTATTGTTGATGCCAGCAAAACACCATCCAGACTTGCTACTCTTGCGACATGTACCTCTTAACAGAGTACATCTCTTCACTGCCATCCAGCTTGCCTGCCTAGGTCTGCTTTGGATAATCAAGTCTACCCCTGCAGCCATCATCTTCCCCCTTATGGTGACTTGGGGGCAGGGCTGGGTAGTACCAGGGGGTTATGGGAAACTGAGCTTGGGAGGTGGAGGAAGCCTCTCCCCTGTCTCAATTTCCCTGGCTCTTCCTGGTTGCTAATATTAGGGAAAAAAAAAAAAAGATGGGGTATAACTGCAGATGGACTAGGCCTGGCAGACCCAGTCAACTTCTTTTCCAACTTTTTTAGATCAGTGAATGAACAGAGAAGAAAACTGGGAGGTCCTGGGAAAGGAGCTGATATTTTTGTTACTCTGTTGAGGGGTAACACAGAGGAGGGCACTGCAGTTGTGTAACCTCTGGGCCATTACTAATCTCTCAGGGCCCCAATTTCTGTCCCCGTGTGATGGAAATATTTATCGAGTCTGCCTTACAGGAATATGTTAGCTTCCTGTGAAATGATATGCAATGCTTAGCCCATAGAAAGTGCTCAATAAAGGTGATAATTGTTAATGTTCCTGCTGTTGCTGACAGACTTGGTCTTGTTTCTCTTCCTGCAGTTGCTGGGCCTGGCAGGTGTCCGAAAGGCACTAGAGTGGGTCTTCTCACCACAGGAACTCCTCTGGCTGGATGAGCTCATGCCAGAGGAGGAAAGGGGCATTTATGAGAAGGGACTGGAGCCAGAACACATATTTGGTGGAGATGAAAGCCAAGAAGTAAGTTCCAGGCAGGGCCCTCCTAGAGAAAGAGGCAGGGGCTGGAGGAGCACTCTTCACCCTAAGCTGTCTTTAAAGTTTAATATATCCACTAAGTCCAAAGATCTGATCAACACAATCACTCTCCTTAGCTCTGTGTTGACATAGGCAGAATGAAGGGGTGAGGGAAAATGTTCTTATCGGCCAGGGGCTCTAGTTTATGATCTTGTGAGCGTGGACAACACTGTGACACAGCTCTATGGGCTCTCTTCCTCAATCCTGGTCTTTGTTTTGTCTTGTGGTGGATTTCTATCATGTCTTTGTGTCTCATTCTCATCCTTTTGTCTCTCTGGCTCTGCCTCTCCTCCTCTCTCTACCCTACCCACTTAGGGATCTCTCTTTCAGTCAGAGCTGATGTATCAACCAAAAGTTCCAGAAATCAACATCTCTGTGAATTAGTTGGAGCAAGAGACTGGGAGTGGAGACCCTATGAAACAGACCATGAGGTGAGGGTAGGAGGCAAGTAAATGCTTCTGGTGTTGAAAATGGGGAGGTGCAGGCTCAGACCCAGAGCTGGGGAGGAAGCAGAAAGGTCTACCCAGAGGGTAGAGAGAAACAGGCAGTTACCTGGGTTTGACTCCCTGCTGTTTGGAGCTCTTCCCAGTAGAGGGCGCGCCAACTCACACCAAATAGGATGCTGAGTCGGTGGGGGGGGGGTAGACAAGGATGAGAAGGAAGAACAATGACAAAGGAATGGGAAGGAGAAGAGGAAGGGGATAAAGTTCTGCTCTTTTTCCTTACCTAGGAGATTCTTCTTTTAGGCTGCTATGAACCACACTATAGACAAATGGAGGGATTCTTTACCCCTTGTCCTCTCTGCCTTCCATTTTATTTATCCATATATCATTTTTTGAGGTATATCAAATATACCTATCATAGTTTGTTTTGTTTTGTTGCACCAGGGATCACATTTGGGACCTTGAGCTTGCAAGGCAGGCAGTGGCACCACGGAGCTAAATCCCCAGCCCTCTAACATAGAGTTTTTAAGTACTGTAGACTCCGTAGTGAGTAGAGCAACTACAGTCTCTGACCTCAGGAAGTTTAAATCCCAGTGGAAGAGTCAGGCAGACACATAGACAACTCTTAGTGATGGTGCTGTATGAGGCAGGTACAGGGGGAGCAGCGAAACCTCTAACCCCTTCTCAGAGGATAGTAAAGGTGCGGTGGGGTGAGTTGAGTGTAACAGGAAATAGCCCATAACTTGAACAGTGACTAGCAGCTAGTCAAGACAAGACAGAGGAAATATGTTCTATGCAGAAGCTACAGCATGTCCAAGAGTCTAGAATTGGTTGCTCTTGATAAGCTGAACTCTCTCTTTTGGCCCCAGAACACTCTCCCCAGAACACATGCCTCTACAAGTTCAAGAATCTCCACTACTTGCAATAGAAAGTTGGGGGGATTAGAGAGAGAAAAAGTAATTCCTTACCACCCAGTACTCCCTTGGCTCTGTTCTTTGCTTTATTTTTTTCCCTGAGCACTTGCTCTGGCCTCATGGTGTCTTCTCTCATTTCACAGGTGTTTACTCAGAAAGTCAGGAAATTGTTGGCCTTTGACTTAGTTACCAGATGCTGTCGGCTGGGGACCTGAAACAATGGGGCAAGACTGAAGGGGCAGCTGGCAAAGACTCCGGTTACCTCCTGAGCTAAGGGTGGAAGTTGCAAGGAGCAAGTAGATTTGATGGTGCTTAGGAAAGGCTGGTGAGCCAGAGGGACTGACCAGTCCTCATTCACTCACTCTCTGCCCATTAAAGGGACTGTTACGGCTTGTGCCTAGATGTCCCCCCAAAACCTCATGTGATCATAGGTGGGTTTTTTTCAGAGGTGGCTGAATGTAGAGTGTGACTGATTCACAGTACAATGCTAGGACTAAGGGTGTGAGATTACTAAATCAGTCCACTGATTGGTTTGGCACCGCCCTAATCCAATAGCCTAGATAGGGTATAAAAGGGACAGAAAAAAGCTAAGATCTCTTGCTTGCTTTGCTACTTTCTGCCTTCCATGACGTGTTTCTCCTCTGCGATGGCTGGCTGCCGTGCCACCCTGCCTTGAGCCAGCTGATTGTGGACTGAAACCTGTACAAGCTGTGAGCTAAATAAACCTTTTCTCCTTTAACTCCGAGTGTCGGGTATTTTGTCTCAGCAACAAGAAAAGTAAAACAGGAACCTGAGCCCAGGAGCCCTTCCCATTTTGAACTTTCTGTCCCCACAGATTCCATTTTATAGGATCTTGGGAGCAGATCTTTTCTAGGTACAAAAGGAAAGAGACCTTTCCAAAATAAGTACACTTCTATTTGGAACAGGTTTTTACACATGTAAACATAATTTTTATTATTGTTTAATTGGTGACAAAAGCAAATGAGGCCACTGGAAAATACTGCAATGTTACAGAAATATACATGTATATGTATTTTTTTATGGTACTGGGGACTGAACCCAGGGGTGCTTTACCACTGAGCTATATCCCAGCCCTTTTATTTTTGTAGTACTCAAGGGTTAAACCCACATGCAGAATTATATCCCCAACCCATTTAGCTATTTATTATTATTATTAGTTATTAGGTTTTTTTTTTAAATTTTAAGACAGGGTCTCTCTAAATTGCCCAGGTTGGGCCTGAATTTGTAATCTTCCTAATATCCCAAATAGCTGGGATCTCAGGAATGTACCATCATGCCTGGATCAGCGATGTAAATGTATAATTTTGAAATGGAAATCACCCTAGAAATAACCATTGTCCACATTTTAGTGTATGTTGTTCAGACTTCTTTCAATGGTCACATTAATATTTTATTAAAATGGAATTAGAGAGTTCTGCAATGTTTTTCACTTAATAAATGTTGAATATTTTCTCCATGTCAGCACGTATGTATCTACCTCATTGATCTTTTAAATTACTAAAGATATTATATATACAAAAGAGTATATAAAATGTCTTCTACAAGTACAAGAATTTCTCCAGCATATATACCTATGAGTAAATATCAAGAAAAACAATGAAGAGAAAACCTGTATATCCAACACTTTGCTTAATAAACAAAATATGTGTAGTACCTGTGTGTCCTTCCCATATTGCATCCCCCTTCTAGAAAAACATTATCCTAAAATGGATGGTAATTTAAAAAAATACTTTTAAATCCTTCATATATATCTATATTTAAAGACTATTATTATTATTATTGTTATTTTGGTACTGGGTGTTGTACCCAGGGCCTTCACACTGAGCCACAAACCCAGACCCATTTATTTATTTAGAGGCAGGGTCTTGCTGTGTAGTTCAGGCTGGACTTGAACTCACTTTGTGACCCAGGCTGGCCTCAAACTCATGGCCAAGCTCTAGGATTACAGGCATGTATTACCATGCCAGACAACTCCAGCCCTTTAAGAAAAAAAAATTTTTTTTAAAGTTTGAGACAGGAACTTTGCCAAGTCTCCAAGATCCCCAGGTTGCACTCAAACTTGGAATTCTCTTGCCTAAACATTCCAGAGTGCTGGAATTGCAGGCATGCAATGCAATGTCCAGCTATTTTACATATTTTTGAATGTTATGTAAATGGAATCATTGTGTAAAAACTCCTTTGTGACTGCTTTTTTCACTCAACATTGATTCAAGAATCAATCATGTTGGTCCAAGTATTTAGCTCAGTGGTGCCACCTGAATTGCAAGTGCAAAGTCCTGAGTTTGATCCCCTATACCAAAATGAAACAAAACAAGAATCAAGAGTGTTTATGCATATAGTTGTAATTTGTTCAATTTCATTGCTTTGTAGCACTCCACTATATGATTCTACCATAATTCAATTATCCAATTTCTATTGACTCAAAGAAGGCACTGGTGAAATCACTGGGACTGAGTATTTGCTCTATGGAAGGTTTAAATCCTTCAATTGTGCTCGCTTTGGCAGCACATATACTAAATTCATACTAATTCAGGCTTTTTGTATTTTTCTTCAGGCAGTTCTGGCAAACTATATTTCTCTAGGAATCTATTTTTTTCTCTTTGCTTTGTGTGGAGCAGGGGATAGAACCCAGGGCCTTGTGGCTTTTGTGCTCTGCCATTGAGCTATATCTTTAGCTCTGCAATCTATTAATTTTCTATAAGTTCTCATGTCTACTGACAAAGATAGTCTAATAGCCCTTATCTGTTTACTCTCTAGCATATTGGGCAGCTGTGTTTTCTGTATCTTTTCTAATTTTTTATGCATTCTGTTTTGTTGTTATTCTTTGTTACCTTGTCACAGTCTTTTTGAAAACTTCACTTTTTTAGTGAATACTTTCTACTTCATTAATTTCTGTTCTTTCAGTATTTCCTTCCTTCTGTTTACTGGGGTACTGTGGATCAAACTCAGGACCTTGTACTTGCAAGGCAGGCACATGGCCACTGAGCTAAATCCTGGGCCCTCCTTCCATTTCTCTTAGGTTTATTCTGTTGTGTTTCTATCTTCTAAGTTGCTTATTTTGAGATTTTTTCTTTATTTTTTTTGAGATGGGGTCTCACTATGTAGTTCAGACTGGCCTTGAACTCACTATGTAGCTCAGGCTGGCCTTGAACTTGTGCCAATCCTCCTGCCTCAGCCTGCCAAGTGCTGGCATTACTGGCATGTTTTGAGTCTTAATTATTTCCTAATGTAAGCACTACATGCTGGGTGTGCTGGTGCACACCTGTAATCCCAGCACTGGGGAGGCTGAGGTAGGAGGATTGCTATGAGTTCAAGACCAGCCTGAGCTACATAGTGAGTTACGGGTCAGTCTCAACCTCATAGTGAGACCCTGTCTCAAAACAAAACAAAACAAAAACAAAAACAAAAACACAAAGATAGGTCTAATGCAAGCACTATGGTTATAAATTTCCTCATAAGTACTGCTTTAGTTGTACAGGTTTTGATATACAACATTCTCATAATTTATTTTTAAGAATTTTCTAATTTCTATTATGATCTCTTTTTTGACCCACATTATTGAAAGTGCATTTAAAAATTTTCCAAACATACATTTTCTCCCCTGTATCTTTTTTGTAACTGGTTTCTAATTTAATTGCATTCAGACATTCGTGAGGCTAACTTTATGGTTAGGCATATGATCAATTTTTTGGAAATTTTCCATGTATACTTGAAAAGACAGTTTATTCTCCAATTGTTAGGAACAATTTATTATATCTGTTAAGCTAGGTTATTAATTGTACTATTCAAAATGTTTTATATAGTTCATGGCTTTTGGTGGTCTATTTGAACTGTCAAAAATTGGAGGAGTTTGTTAATATACCTCCTATGATAATGGATTAATCTATTTTTGCTTTTATGTATTTTATAAAGGGTTTTAATTTATTTTATTTTATGTACAAAGAACTAGTATGGTCTTTTCCTTTGGGTGGATGTCTAGCATGATCCACTGGAGGAAGATAACTTAATGCAACTTCCTTATATCCTTCAAGTATTGATGGAAAACTCCTGGTCATATTTCTGAATCAGACAATGTAGGTTTGAGCAAATGCAGCAAATGGAGGAACTTTTCAACACATAATGCTGGGAAAACAGTATCAACATGCAAAGAATGAAGTTGAATCCCTACTTCACACTATGTGCAAAAATTAATTCATGTAGATCAGTGACACAAATGTAAGAAATAGAACATCATTTCTTAGAAGAAAACCTTTATGACCTTTAAAACCTTTATGACCTTTATGACCTTGGGTTTGGCAGTGGTTTCTTAGATGCAGTTAGAAAAGCACATGGGGCCAGGAATTTAGCTCACTAGTGCCTTGCAAGTGCAAGGTCCTGAGTTAGATCCCCAGTACCAAAAAAAAAAACAAAAAAAACAACAACAACAAAAAAAAAACAAGAAAAGAAAAGCACAAACAACAAGGCAAAATTAGTCGGACACCATCAAAATTAAAATTTTCTGTATTCCAATGACATTATTGAGGACATGAAAAGAAGATCCACAGAATCGGACAAAATATTTGCAAACACATATTTGTTAAGGCACTTGTACCTAAAATATACAAAGAACACTTACAACTCAATAATAAAAAGACAACCAGAATAAAAAAATGAGCAACAGTTGGGTTCAGTGGTGTATTCTTGTAATCTCGGTGACTTGGGAGGCTGAGACATGAGGATTGAAAGTTCAAGCCCAGCCTTGTCAATTTAATTAGACTATCTCAAAATAAAATATAAAAATTCTGGGAATATGACTCAGTGGCGGAACACCCCTGGGTTTAATCCACAATACTAAAAGAAATGGGATCCAAGGGGTTCGAATAAGTATTTATTCAAAGAAGATAAACAATGGCTAACCACATTAAAAGATTCTCACCATCATTAAGCATCAGGGAAATGAAAATGAAAACCACAATGAAATACCACTCAAATCCACTAGAATGATTGCAATAAAAGACAGATAAATAGACCACAGGAAACAGAGAGATAGATTTTTTTGCAAAAGGGAAGATGACCAAGAGATGGAGGGAGCCGGGCATGGTGGCACATGAGAGGCTGAGGCAGGAGGATCACAGTGAGTTTGAGGCCAGCCTGGGCTACATAGCAAGTTCAATACTAGCCTGAATTACAGAGTGAGCTCTTGTCTCAAAAAACAAAAACAAAATCAAAACAAAGCAAAAAGAGATGGAGGAAAGGGGAGGGAAGAAAGGGAAAAGGAATGAAAAAAAAACTGTTATGTGTAATATGCATGTACCAATTCCCCATGGTGAACAGAATCATAATCATGTACTGCAAACATGTGCCAATAAAAAGAAAAAACAAAAGACCATGTCCTTCTGTCACAGATTTTGAAGTTCCAAAGTCTAATGACAGTTTGGAATTTTAAGGTCTAAGCATTTTCCTGATGAGAGAATCACTAGAATCAGTAAGAATCAGTTTAACGTATAACAGCAAAAATCAGATTAATCTACAGGTTAGGGTGGTGTGGCATTTAATGACT